GGGGAATCCTGGGAGTTGAAGTCCACACATCTTCAAGTTGCCAAGGTTGAGAAACACTGGTGCAGATTATGCTTCTTAAATACCACCAGGGGATAAGTGGGAACATGGCTGCCTTTACAATAGAGTTGTGGATCCAGAAAGATGCACCCCACATTGCTTTTTACCAGCGTTGATCTTTGTTTCTTCAATGGGCATTTTTTTTAGCATTGCCGAAAATCATTTTGGAAAAAGCCACAGCAGCATTTTAATGTATACAAACAGCAACATAGTATCTGTTGGAAATGTCTTACATTAAGAATTTCTTGAATGTTGTATATAAATTGTATTTGAAAACGCGCTTTGGAAATAGTTTGTACATTATTTCCTAATTTATACTTGATATTTAGTGTTAATATTTCTAACTGTTAATAACAAGATATCTAATGTGTGGTGATTTTTATGTATTGATGTGAAAACGAGGCAATGCCAGCATTTTAACACTTTCATTACTTGTACCATATTTTCTGTTTTGTAATACAGAATGTTAAAATACACTTTAGGTTAAAAAGACTTGATTGTGAAGCCGAGCAATGGCACTTTTTCGTATGACGGAAAGACTTTTAAAAGGACTGGTGTAATCATATTTGAAGTCTGTTTTAGTTCTGTTTTTTTAAATTGCAGGTTTAATGAAAATGATAAATTACATTCTATTTATAATCAGAAATATTTCAAGTAAAGATCATTGCATGAGAAAAAGCTTTAATGTCACTTTTCAAAATGTAAAATTGTAATTATTGAGGTCAGGCTTCACCATTTCTCTTTTATGCAAGAGTAACATTTAGAAGTGTGATCTGGAACAGAAAATTTGCATTCCTGGAATTTTTAATATCTCTGCAGGGTGTCAGAAGAATCACTAATCATCTTTTTGGGGAAAGATAAGGTTCTTTGAAATGGAGGCTAGATAGATAGCTATTTGTGATGCTTTAATCTGATTCCTGTACTCGGCGTGGGGTTGCACTTGACCTAAAGCAGTGTTTTTCAGCCGTGGCCACTTGAAGATGTCTGGACTTCAACTCCCAGAATTCCCCAGCCAGCATGCTGGCTGGGGAATTCTGG